GTCAGAAAATTTGAGCTTCCTAGCTCAACGCGTTTCGGAGAAATAACCAAAAAACCTCAGGGGGGGGCTCCTGAGGCCCCCCCCCCCGCCAGGAATAGGGCTAGGGAGGCGGAGGAGGTTTTAGAGCTAAGAATGTGCATTGTGCAATTGCATAGTAGGCTGGACGATCTATCCTAATCGACTTATAGTTCCTCGACTTATAGTCATGTGTCGCTGAATTGTCACATCACCAATGGTTTCTTCATTAACCATTGCCTACGGTGTCGGACGGGAGCGAGTGGAGACGGCATCTATCAATGCCCCTGTGAGCGACAAGAATTAGGTACTGGATTTCTTTCTAATATCATGGTTTTGATATTGGTTTAGATAACTGCTTGTCGATGGCGATGACTTTCAGTTGCTATTGTGTATTCGAAGTCAATAGAATGAAGTGGACAGATCTTGTCTCTTCAAGATTGTTAGCATTTGAACAAAATCAGACAAGCATATCATGTTGACATATATGCCCGTCATGCTTCTTTGATCAGTGAACGCCAAAGAAATAAAGGTATCATTTGAATTATTAGTGAGTCGTTAATCAATCATTTTATTTTAATAACTGACCGCTAAATTAAGCGCGTGTCATGGCTGAGATATCATTTAAATTTACAAATGTCAGCCATGGAAACATTAGTAAAACAGAATATCATCTCAGCACGAAGGTTGGCTCGAGGCTGACTTGTTAACCTCCTGCAGTTTGACCCATCCTTGGTCTTGTCCCGATCCAAGTGTGTGGACTAACCTAATTCAGTAACCTGAAGCGTAGAACGCTATTCTGCTCGTTTAGCAGGTCAACAGGTTGTCAGGACAACTAGAAAACTGATAGGGCCTTGGAAAACTGGTCAAATCAGCTTCGATTCCGCTTTCGTTCCGATCCAAGGCCTACAACAAAGTCATCTCCTCGAGCGTCTCGAGCTGAATAAAGACTCGCTCGTGACACTTTAAGAGGAAATCCTCTAATGAGTCCAGCCTATTATGGTATCGCCTGCGTTCAATCATCTCCGAAGCCCGAGGGACTGGTCCACTAACACGAATATCTCTTCTAACTCCGGGACTGTTTGTCATGATACATGTCGGTGAGAGGCTGGGCAATTGTTATTTATGAGCCGGCACACTCGCCGAGGCATGAGACCACCTCTCGGAAAGATATTATCTTGGCCGCCTGACCGACCATCTAAGGTATCACTTTACCGTATGTGATGACAGAGCGTCCTGATTTCGGGAAAATTAATTTCATGATAATACACTGCTGAATTATTTGTTATCTCGAGGTCGTTTGAAATCATCAAGGCGTCATTCAGCTAAGACAGAAGACAACAAGACGTCAAAGGAAACTGGGTCGGTGACGGTGAAATGTTTTCGTTCGGTATGTTGCTGATATCATTTACCGATGTTAAGGGTACTTACAAGCGATGTTACGATACAAATATGCGTAAAGATTCCTCATCATACCACTTCACCATGCCCACAAGTCAGTGGCCTCTCACACCACCTTAAAGGAAATAGTTCACTTTTAACATGGGGTTTTGAGCTGGAATGGCAGTTTCGTAGCTTGAGCTGAGACTAGCACAAATCAGGAGCTTTTACGGCTCAACGATCACCCTAGACGAAGATATTCCATTTCTCGTTCCGAAAAGAGTGCCTTGTAGAGGAATGCGTGCCTTGCACAGGAATGCAGCCACGTCATCGTCAGCCAATCAGCGTGCTGCTTACAGCCAATGCAGTATGGGTAGGTTTGAGCTACGCAATATGATTGGTCAATGCGTAATAAGCTTCCGCGTCAAACATTATTTTACATAGAGTATAGTTCGTCCTATATTAAAATATAGAAAATAATTGTTTTTACAAAAAGGTTTTATTTTATTTCATGATTATATTGAGCATAAAAAATCATAAATCAATAGCAAAATACTGATTTCAGGAAAGTGGACTGTTTCCTTTAACTCCACAACCTCCAGCCGTTACAACCGAGGTAGACGTATCAAATTCCGATCAGCATCCAAGCTAGGCTATAGACCCCACTGTGGTCTAAAGAGATCAGTGCGATCGACATCCACTCCCGTCCGTTTTGACAGATATGATGGGACGCCAGGGTGCTGGGGTTTGGCCACAATGCGCGGACACTTAGGGCTAGAAGGGACATGGAGGGAGGGGAGAGGAGAAGAAGGAGAGACAGAAGGGAACGGAGGGGACCGGGACAGGAGGAGACAGAGGGAACTAGGGAAGTGTTGATGGTAACTTACAGGATAATAGAGAAAACTGATGCGCTACCGATGAAACTAATTGGTTGGATCAACTGATCATTAAGTTCTAGCTCATCTCTCACTAACCTGACCATATTTCAAAAGTAAATTGTCAATGATTTACGAGAACACATGTAAAGCCACTCGAACAAGAAATATAAACAACTAAATCATTCTAAAAACAGGCTCCTGCTAGCTCCGTGCAACATCCTTCTTCTACAACTCACTTCACGCGCAACGAATCGCCCATTATACTCCAGAAAAACTCCGGGGCGGCTTCTAATAGAGCTACGCCGGAGCCGAAAGATGACGAATTGCTTTGAGTAGCGATGCTAATCACGACTATAAATACTAAGCCACTGTGTTTGTAAGCACTGTCGGGTGGCTGGGTATCGCTCGGACAGGCTACGACCCCTGCATACTGATCACCGTCTAACGGTGCAGTCTGGTCGAGCGTCACCCCCCCCCCCCCCCCCCCACGAGGATTGGACGCACGGGGCATTCCACGTCAAATCAAACACCGAAATCCGTCATCCCCTTCGATTTTTCTGAAAATTTGTAGGCAGACTGGGCATGGTTCAAAACTGAGTTACGTATAATATTTTCGAAATTTGATAACGTATCGCTGAGATATAGGTCATCGAATATAGCGAAAAATGTCACACATCAATTTTTTAAATGGCTATAACTCTGGTTCCTTTTCTGGTATCAAAATGATATTAACAGGGTCTTATAGGCAATTGATAAGGCTTTGATTTTTAATTATAAAATTAAATTGAAGTGACCTTGAAATGCATTTGACCTTGAATTAAAACAGAAAAATTTAAATAGCAAAAAACACGTCACCTTCGATTTGGGTAATTTTTACATATTATGTCCGTCACAATGTTCCTAACCATCTGTGAAAAAATTGGAGTGGGCCATTCATAACTTTCGCGGCAAACGCCGTTTTCATGCATCAACATCACGCAACCGCGCGTGACCTTGAAAGACAGAGTCAAGACATGCTTGCTTGTGTAGTGTGTACACTTTCTGAAATGAATGATTGCTGATTAGTGATATCCCAAACTCTGCGAGAATGGAAATGCATAGTCATCGTAGTCAAGCATTCACGTTCCATAGTAAAAGTGTCTCAGGCAAACGGTATTTTGCGGTTAATTTTGAGCCGTGTGGAAATGCATCATGAAGTAAATTCAACGAAAACATTATCACGCAATCTTCACGTCTTTTGATCTTCACTGACTTCACTATACGAAGGAACATACATTTTTTAGTATGTATGGGGAATTTCTAGTTAATCCAAATATAAATATGGCAGTTAGAGGCCTGCTAAGAGTAACATGTCGCCGGCTGAGGCGGGCTCGGCCGATGCGGGAAACGCAGCAATCACAATTTTGTGTTTACACGTTCATATTTCAATTGTTTACCAACCGATTTTCAAAATTCTTTCACCATAAGATTGCCTGTATATTTCTTAGTCTTCTCACAAAATTTGACGCGAATCGAACGTAATCAGCGGTAGGGAGCGAGCGCGATGTAAAGACGGAACCGTTCCGTTCCGTCCCGGCACAGTCTACAATTCAGGCGGCGCGTAGCGGTCGGCGCCGGCTGCCGAGTCGCCGCGTCGCTGCGGCGACAGGATATTCACTTAACACCGCTATTACTAGAACAGTTGTGAACCGATTTTCTTATTGCTTGCACGATGAGATGTCCAATTCAATTCTTGACAGGTAGCCATAATTAATTTCGCATTAATCTTATGAGATATTGGCGAAAAACAGGAGGGGTGGGCGAAATTCGCTATTCCCCCTCCACTGCGCGTGCTAACATACGTTTGCATACTCGTATGTGCAATTTTCTTCCAAACTTATGAATGGCCCACTCTAATTTTTTCACAGGTTGTTAAGAATATGGTAGGCAATAAAATATATGAAAATGAGCCAAATCGAAGGTGACGTGTTTTTTGCTATTTCAATATTTGTGCTTAAGAACAGAGTTAAGCAAATTTCAAGGTCATATATTTATATAGGTGCAATTCTAAACAAATGCTTAAGAAATAACCTAAACAGTAAGGTTTATTTCATTCAAATCAAACAAGTACAACCGAAGTTATGGTCGTTCAAAAATATAAAGATGCAACATTTTGTAAAAATTTGATGCCCTATATTTAGAAGACCTGTGGTCAGAATGTGCAAAAAACATCAATCTAATGTCCGGGGCCACACAGGAACTCGCTCACAAATTTATAATGAAATCGCTGATGGTAAGGTGCAAAACAGCCGATTTTTGTTCGATTTGACGTGGAATGCCCCGCACGTGCTAAGGATGGCCAATGAGATCGTTATTAGAGAGCTTGTATGGTTGCGTGGCTCAATTTGGTCTCTCACAATAGGCATTGAAATGAGAATATTAATTAGGTCTTTTGGTCTTCGTCGAAGCGTCTTCGGTGTTCTTTTTAGGAACAAACTGGCTGGCTGTTGCATAAATGGTGCATTTGCAAAGACAATGCAGTTCTCCAACCACGTGGACTTCCGGTATAGAACAATAAAATTTTGCGTCAAGGACGACCCAAAAAGACTTGATGAAAATAATTTAATGTTAATAAGCTGCTGCTATAGAAAAAAAGTTCGATCCCAGGGTAAGTTTCTTTGCGCCGAACTTTTTATGGCGATAAAAAATAAAAATACAGTTAGAAAAATATAAGCGCAGAAATCTCACCTGTTGATAAACATGATGACAGTTGCTATATCAGGCAGCGTCAGCAGTGGCAGTGTCTGACAGCAGCAGCAGCAGCAGCAGCACCTGACTGTCCGACAGCCGAGCGTGTGTGACCGACGCGGAGCACCACGGCGCACGTCCTCACCCCCCGAGCGTTGAACACCGACTGGTGTGGGACCGACCGGTCTGCCCGGGCTGACCGACGGAGCGACGGGGCGACGGACGGCGGACGGCGCTCGTGGGAGAGAGGGAGAAAGAGGGAGGGAGGGAGGGAGATGCAGATGGGGGATGACAAGGATGAGGATTAGAAGGATGAGGATGAGAAGGATGAGGATGAGAAGGATGAGGATGATTCAAGGGCAGGTAGTAGGTACATAGATACGAGATGAGAGTATAGAGGAAAAGGAAGAGGTTTGGGGAATGAAAATTAGAAAAAAATTGATTGTGCTCTAGACGATTGTTTTCAATCACAGAGAAGAAAAATGGAGTAGTAAGCGGAGACTTACAAGTGCATTGAAAATTTGACAGGACTTACACCAAGTCGAAACTCAATGTCTCAGTGGGTAGGAATGTAGGTAGTTAAAAGGGTTGGGGGCAAAATGAACAACAGGATAAGCAGGGTTGATGAGGCTCTGAAGAGGTCACTCGTAAGCTAGAGGACAGGAGTAGGAAAATATCACAAAAGCATACCGGGGCTTGAAGGCCGCACAATGTTGTAGCTCGGCAATGTCACCTCACCGGCATCCGGTCAACACTCAGTCCACAGGCATGGTCGTGAAGGTTCGATTTGTTGATAAAACTGTCTCATTGTCTGTGTCATTGTCATTACATTGTTTACGGTGCACGTTCATGCATGTCCTTCACGCTAATGAAGCCACAATGATTTTCCCATTGAAATGACAACGAAGCGCCCTTCAGTTGGTGACAACTATGTAGATGTGAGTTGTGACTAAGCAAGGTACTTACATTTCTGAGCCCTCAGATTTTATTGTTGAGTTCGTGGCTTGATGAAGTCAGCAGATTTGATATTTTGTTTAAAGAAAAGGCTAAGAGATAAGACAGAAGAAACGTTTCCTGCAATGAACACTGCATAATGTCGTCGTTCGGATCCTGAAGACGAGACGAACATTAATCCGATTTTTTATACTTAAACGAAAGGCATAGGGAAAGCGGTGTGTCGCTCCCCTACAGAAGAAGCCCATGGGTGTTGTCCTTTGCGTCGGCTCATCTACTGGGTGGCTCTGGCACCCGGATTGAACGCCGACCCGTGTAAGAGCGATGACTTCAACTGTCCCGGCACCAAGAAGTGCTGCTTCGTACGGTGCTCCACCGAGTGCTTCTACCCGGTGTGGGCTATATCCGGGAACTCTGCCGGTGTTGAGCGTGGCTCTTGTGGTGAGGCAGAGGCAATAATTCCGCCGCAAAATAAAAACTAAACATCTACCTGCCCTATGTGTCTTCGAAGACAAAGACCTGCCCTATGTGTCTTCGAAGACAAAGACATCGGCGATTTATGGCAAGGCCGGTGAATTCACCAGAAACGTGACAGTCATTTGTTGGTATTTGCCTGATCGTGCTGTCATTGAATCATGTCTGAGCCCAGCTGCACAGTATGAGAATAACTATTTGGTGATACATGTAACGTAACAATGGCAACTGCAAATGGGAGCGTAATAATTGGGACGAATGCTACTGCAATAAAGTTTACATAAAAAAGGGAGAATTATGAGGAAAATTATTAGTACCGGCCGTTCAGTTCAGGGATCATAAAAATTAATGTTTATGCGTGAACATATGAGGGGATTTTGATTAGCGATATCAATGCACAAAGGCTTGGCTAAATGCTCAATGATTTTGGGAGTTTGTTGAGACAACAGGAATCAATAATGATTATGACCCAACAAATACTATCAATTTGCATAGAAAGAAAATGTGTAATGTCTGGCTTCGGTTATGTTCCTATGACAATAAGTCTGAAATGTAATAACCGTAGTGCCTCTACGCCTAAACCGCCTGACCCAGCTCCATCGAACACCCAAACAGCCCACTCACTGCGGCACCATTTTCTCGGTAAGCCACCGTGCCGGACCACACAGTCACATACCCCCGGGGCCTGAGTCCGTACGGTGAAACCAAGGTGAAACAATGCTGCGAAATAGTGGTGTAACGGAGAAACAAAGGTGGATTGTGCAGCAATTGAGGGGGTTGATTGTGCAGGGTTCGGCAGCAATGTGTGGTCTGTCCCACCCACAGAGTGAATTGCTGAATGGATGGTGGGTGGCACCGTTTCAATTCGCGCCATACATAGAGTGGAGCGGTAACCCGATACTAACATCCCGAAACGGGTAGGTGGGGAGGGACGTCCGTTTTTCGTCGAAACAGACTCAACTTTCGTGGAACAGACCCTCCAGACTTAACCCTATTCCGGGCGGGCTCTGAAAGGTTCGATTCTGGGCGGGGAGGCCTTTTCGGCCCCCCCTTCAGATCTAAAAAACTACACATCGCAGCGACAAACGGCAAACGGCGTTTGATAGGTCGTTAAAGTTTAAAGGTCTACAACTTTTACATAAAACATTTTCAGGTCAGGTCAATTTTGAGGTCACCAGAGGTCATCAACGATAAAATGTTTTGGTATTAGTTACCTATATAACTTTTAAACTCAGAAACATAGAGACATAAAATTTATACATGTTTTGTTGCTCTCGCCGAGGCGATGCGAAATAAGTATGCGATGACATTCACAGGTCAATTTGAAATTTAATCCGAGGTCAAGGTCAGGTCATTCATCAATAAGGTTGTGGGGTATGGTCATGCTGCATACCAAACGACACGCCTTGACCAGGCGAGCAGTTTGATACCACTTACAAGTCTTTAGCACCATCATGTCGTAATTTATTGACAGCAAAACGATTTATGACGTCACATGACCTCAGATGACCTTTCCCGGTGCCCCTGTCAATTATAGCGGCACTGCAGGATCATCACCGATGAGATAATCTTCCATAATACTGAAAGAATTGGGTGGGTTTGACTCGTTTACACGAAGCAGGAGGCGTTTTAATATTTTCCCATAGGCTTGCAATGTAAAGGTCACGAGTCTGGCCTGACCTCAGGTCACAGTTATAACAATTCTGAGATATACAAATTGCACATACTGGTACGTACCTTAACTAAAACCTGAAGAGAAAAATTTGATCGGTCAAAACTCTAGCTCTGGCGTGATTGCAAACTTTTCTGAGGTGGGGTCACCGAACCGCCTCTGGTGACCTGACCTGACCTGACCCGGCAACTTTTTTGTCAAAATGTGCGCAATGAATGTTTAGAAAAAGTCACCGAGTATGAGCTTTCAGTCTTGCGGCGTTTGGCAATGGCACAAGAAAAACCTGAAGGGGGGGGGCTTGAAAGCCCCCCCCCACCCAGAATAGGGTTAACCCTCGCCCGCACATGGGGGGGGGGGTTGCCACCCCCCCCCCAGGTAGTCTTTCTGCTCTGCACTCAACATTTTTAGAGCTAGAAGGCTGATTTTTCGTATAGCTGCTCCTCTATCCTTTCTTGATGTCCACTAAAAATTTCAAGTTTCTGTGACTTTTGGTTTCGGAGATATGACCTTGTTTTTTAGGTCATGTCATGACCCAAATGGCCAATTCTCGACATCTTGCGTTGGCTATGGGCCTTGTGAGCTTTTGACACCTTGATTTCGGCCTTTTTTACCAGTCTTACCTCCCACCTATCATGGAACATGTTGTTCGACGATGTACAGATGTCAAGGTCAAGGTCAAGGTCAACCTAGGTCATCTAAGATAATTGCGTTTTAGGCAAGCTGAATTTACTTTTTGTGAAGTTTTTTGACTGCATTTTTGGTAAAAGCTTCTCAGATCATGATTTCATGTAATATGGACACATAAACAATCGGTGCACACATCAGTATACACACAGACACACACAGACATACAAACACATATAATTGACCTTGACCTAACTTGACCTGAAATGACCTCAGCAGCAAAAACCTGGTCGGGTAGTGTGAGAAAGAGGTTCTAGCTGGCTTGGCACCAGAAAACAGCATCGTCATCGGTATATGATAAGCAGCGCACTTGATATCAAACGGTGACCCAAAACAGCAACATTTTTTAGTTTGACCTGACCTGGAAGGTCAATGACTGACCTGAGAAGGTAAAACTGGGTATCATTGGATTCGTCTCTTCCCAAAGATTCTTTTTGGTCTTTACCGCTAAGCTCTATCTCCAACAGGAACGAAATGGCGCGGGGGGGGGGTGGCAACCACCACCACCCCCCCATGTGCGTTCTAGGATGGGAAAATGGCATGTGCGGGCGAGGGTTAACTGCCACATTGGTTAAAATACTGAAGAGAAGTTAGACACCTTACAATGCATTCCAAACAGTAGATTATCCGATCATAATGTTTCCGATCGATAATGTCCATCAGTTACCGGGTGATCATTTTTGAATGATACAAAAAGAAAGTCGCCACGTTCAAAGATAGGACAAGATATTTTGATTTCACGTGCTGGTTTACATGAGGGAAATTTGGACATTTTGTTTTTTATCAACATTGTCCAAGTCCGTCCTAAGGTACATACGGTAAATATCATCCGTTTTATAGCATGCCCTTTTTGGACATCTTAGTGTAACGATACAATATCTCAGCTGGATGGCTTTGCAACACAACAAATTTTAGTTCATGGCGCATGTGCAAAGGCAATAGCACGGTTATACGGGCTTCCTGGAACCTGCAAAGGATCTTAGAGTGCACGGAGACACTAAGAATAACAAAAATTCCGAAGTGGACATTGTTGATGGAAGTGCGTTCGAGCGCACTGGTTTGGCGGACCCGGGGACGGTACGGCCTTCTATGTAGAGAATGTTGTAACCTGTCGTTTGGCCGGCTTTGTATGACTAATTCACGCGTCTCAGACACTCTTTTCAACAACAGTGTGCTTCTCCACACACATCCGCGCCTGTCATTGAGTTCCCGTGCCCCACAGCTGGTAAGCCTGCAGCTTGCGAATAAGCGAGCACGACCGCCCGTCTTACAGCCCGGACTTCTCGTGACTGTACTTGAGTGTCTGGCCTCACCTAATGACAGGTGTGGTCAGATGTGAGCCGAAGACAATTGCACATCTAATAGTGGTAGAAGGAGACTTTACCCGGAGCATGGGACGGCGATAATGAGCAGAAAATGGTCAGACAAACCCGGCATCGAGCGGAGCTCAGCTGGTCGGCGGTCCGCGAGGGGTGCATACTTTGGGCACCTCCTCTAAGCTAGCTATTGACATTAAAGGTGGTGTGCCAGCTTTCCTGGACCGTATGGAGTTAATGGCCAAGATAAGGAGAACCGGATTTTTAGAACTTATCCATACCTTCAAAACTCATGGAAACGTCTTAAATTCTTCAAATTTTGAGTACCCCAGTGCGAAATTCGCCCCGACGGGTTGTCGGTCGTACCCCAACCACATTTCACACCACTATGAACAATAAATGCACACACTGAAATCGCTATTACCGATATGCTCATCCAATCAAGTTTCGATAAACCCGTTCATCATCATCTCCTGCGGTTTCGAACACGCCTGTTAGGTGGTGCGGTAGACCGCGCCCAAAGCCAGGGCCCCGGTAACGTGAGGTAGCCGAGTCGAGGCAGCGTGCGCTGACCCAAGCCGGGGCCGCGCGTCCTCCCGGTGTCATGTGATAGCCCGGGGGGATGCGGTAGACCCCGCCCAAAGCTGCGGCCCCGGCTTGGGTCAGCGCACGCTGCCCCGACTCGGCTACCTCACGTTACCGGGGCCCTGGCTTTGGGCGCGGCTTCTGCTCATACTTTGTGGTGCGGTGGTGGTGCGTCGGGCCGCGCGCTCTGACTTCGGCCAAGAAAAATGCGTCAGCTGATCATCGTCATTTCTGCCACTTTCATGTGGTGAGATGGGGTCATAATTTTAGAGACGGCTGTTTCATATCAATTATTTTACATAAAATAATATTTCAAACCATAAATTAATGTTCGACAGCCAAATTAAAGAAACAATACCAATACAGGTTTACAGTTTAAATTCGACATTGTGTTGTCTACGATTAGACAGCTGATAACTCATTCCCGTACGTCGTAACTCTATAATGACCTTTGCTTATTGTCACATGTGCGCCGCATTCGCGATTGTTGCCGACGCCTGTTTGCAGGTCAGTCCACTACAGTTGTTATACATATCGAAAAACCGATAAACTTTTAGGCGAAAAAGGCACTATTCCAGGCCCATTTTTGATTTTTTTTGCGATATTAGGTAAAAACAGAAGCTTCTTATCCTAGGAAAAATAAAATGGGAAATCTTTCAAAGGTGGCACACTACCTTTAATGACTGACTGTGTGTTCCAGATAAAATGTCCCACCGTACGTGTTCGATGGGTGTGTTTGATTTAACTATCCAGCTTAACACATGGCTGATATTAACAAATGTTTTTGTATCATTCAAAAATGATCACCCGGTAGGTAGCTATTTCAAACGTCTCAATAGATTCATCCCATCGAATTCCATCGAATGAGATATCAGATATTTTAGCTCTATGTCACGTCGTTATTAGGCACAGCACATCCGTTCTAGTCAAAAACGTAACTATGACAGATACTAATCGAAATCGAACTAAGACGGCTCTCCAATTCAGTGTCCCAGCGGACAAACGATTCTAGATAGTGGTGACCTAGAGAGAGCGTGAATAAACCTGACCCCAATAATCGACCGGGGCCTATTCACTCGTGAGGTTGCGGCTACTCGGTGAATGAGGCATTGGATCTCTCTCTCCTCTCTCTCTCTCTCTCTCTCTCTCTCTCTCTCTCTCTCTCTCTCTCTCTCTCTCTCTCTCTCTCTCTCTCTCTCTCTCTCTCTCTCTCTCTCTCTCTCTCTCTCTCTCTCTCTCTCTCTCTCTCTCTCTCTCTCTCTCTCTCCCTCCCCCTCTTCGTCCTTATAGCTTAGTCGGCTTCTGCAGCTTTGTTGAAATTCGTGTTTTAGTCGGCATTTGTATCTTTGTGTTAACTTGCAAAGTAGATCCAATATTTCTGCAGAAGTGGCTGAAGATCGAATAATGGTGGTATGTACAATTTAGATGGCAACCTATATTTCAAGCTTGGTGTTTATGTGAGCACTAAAATGGCAGGTTGAGGCGCAGCAGACGGCTATCAGGCAGTTGAGCGCACCAGTCTGTAATTGTTGGGAGGCCTCTTATCATAGACCGCTAAGCCGGTAAGCCGCAAGACTCGGCTGCTTTCCAGTCCTGACAGATGCAGGCGACCTCTATCGGCAGATTAGCCGATCTTCCTGTTGGCCGACGACCAAACTACAACTATGGCTGTGCTACAAGCTCTAGGGCCGGAAGCAGTATCGACCGCCGTTCATCCGCATCTTTTTCTAGCCTCCTCGCACTGTCGACGTTAGACTATCAGGCCAGCGCCGTTCTAGGCATTCTTACACTTCAACCAGAAAACAGCGTGCCATTCGTCAGAAACAGTGTATTTCCAACAGACTAGAGTCGCGTCCCGCGCGGTCGACAGTTCCCTGCGCCACATTACCCGCCAGTGCGCCGAGAACGCCACCGCCGCGCCATAGACGCCAGCCAACCGCTGGCGCTCGTATCATCAATCAACCACTCGTCATAAATACAGTAATTCAACTTGCAACAGAGCGAACGAATCGCAACAGATCTCTGACCGGCGGCCGCCTGGGCACGGCGCCACCGGGCCACCAAACAACCAGCAACACCTCCCTCCGTGACTCCCTCAGTCGAGAGCGTCACTCACGTTCGCGCGGGGAGAGAGAGAACGGCTCAGAACAACAGAACAGCACGGCGCGTCACTGAGCGACCCGGGCGCGGCCGGCGGCCGGCGGAGGTCGCAGTCGTCCCGCCGGCCGCCGCCACGCCGCGGGTCGGACGGACGCGTCGCATCACTTGGCGGACATGGGGTAGTAGTACATGACGGTGTTGGCCGGCAGCTGCCAGCGCGCCGCCTGCAGCTCCACCAGCTGAGGGCAGGGGAGAGAAAATCAGTCAGCGTCGGGGACATGGTGTTCGAATGCATGATCACCATAAACATCGGTGTTCGGCTAATCGCCTGCTGCATCCGCTCACCTACAGTTTTCCTGATGGTTTTGCCTTCGGTGGCTGTCTGTTGCCTTTTCTATTTCGTATAGGAGGTTTTCACCTCGATTATGTCAAGTTCTTGGATCTCTGTCGCCACGAGTTTCTCTAGTCAGGTCAAGTACGCTTTACTGACTTAGGCCATGTTTCCCTTTCAAACCTTACTCCTGTGTTACTGACCTGCAGGAGCGTTTTGCTGACTGCCGAGATGAGCGAACAGTTGATGAGCGCGTCGCGCACGGCGGCCATGATCCGCTCCAGCTGCGCCGGAGACTCCTGCTCCAGGTCGCGGCCGATCGACGTCAGGATCAGGAACACGCACTCGGTCTGGTGGGCAGGGGACGCGGGCAGCGTCAGTCAGGAGCGGTATGGAGCTTCGGAAGGGTAGACGGGGCAGGCGGAACATATTTGGTGCTACACACCACGGCCGGGGCCAATCTCACAGGGCCGTCCAGCGAATTCAGGACACGACATAATACTTGCTGGGGTTCGTTTAGTTGAACAAAACTCTACGGACCTCTGTAAATGCGCTCCATGCCATGGCCATGCCGAGACAGGCGGGCTGGGCTGACCATGCCGTGGCCAATTGCACTGACGTGGCTAACCAGCTGTTTCTGACACTGACCTCTGCCAGACTGAATGTAGACACACACAGTGTCACCTGACAGCTATAATATGGCATGACTGACCTCTGCCAGACTGTTGACACTGGGCGCGCGCAGTGTCACCTGACAGCTCTCAGCCAGCAGCTCGAGCAGAATCTGGACGGCGGAGCCGGCACGCGGCCGGGAGCCCGTGGCCACCTGGCGCCTCTTCAGCTGTAGACACATGCAGGAAGACGTGTTACAGCACAGTTTAGGCAAGCAGATACATGCTACGATTCAACCAAAGACCATGACGTATCAGCAGGAAAGTGGGAGAGGCCGTAGCTGTAGTGATATGCGTAAAAAATTATATCGTGCAAAGACACGGCTGAAACGAACTGCTGTCCGGTGAAAGTAACAAAGTAAGCTGTTACAAAGTGAGGATTTCACACTACGAGTAACTACGAGTACATATAGGGAATTAGCAGGTGATATCGAACCGCAGGGCCCTCTCAACTCACGTATTTGGTAAATCATAGTGCCAGATACACCAATCAATAGACTTTTGTCCCTCACAGTAACCCACCAACACTTGGGCCCAAACTTTTATCAAGCAATGACTATACGGTCACTAACCAGTGCGTAGAGTTCGTTGACGAATGTGATGAAGGCGATCCATCGCGGCGAGGCCGGTACGAAGCCGTTGCCGAACGTGCTCTGGTGGGGCCGCAGCAGCCGGTCGCGCTGCTGGTACCACTCCTGGAGGTAAGGAACAGATGGAGAGGAGGTCAAGACGGGGGTCAGGGAAGGATGAGCGGGGATCACACGGTAGAATATGCGTCCTACAGAATGCGTACTGATTGCTGTACTTTTTATCGACATAATATAGTTTGGGCGCAAAATGACCTTAGCAGTCGGCGCTCCCTAAAGCCCCAATTAACAAACAACAACAAACAAGACATAATATACTTGTGGAAGGCTGACACGTTGTGTCGCTTTGGCTGAATCTTGAGCAGTAAAGCCTACTAAGCCAGTGAGCCTTCCGAGCCAGACTGTTATTAGTGATATTGGCAGCCGGATAGTACAACTGAATGAGTTGAACAGGACACAAGGAAACAGCCATGGCGAAGTTGGGAGTTCTGAGAAAACAGACACTTGCTGAAGCCCGTTTCAGCCCCATCATCAAGACACACTGACAGCCGCCCCACCATCCGTACCTACCTGGCACGTGTTGAGCAGCGTCTCGAGGAAGGTCTCGGTGCGCTCCCTCTCGATAATAGCCAGACAGAGTCGCGCCGCCGGCTCCCCGTACCGGGCGGCCTCCACCAGCCGCGTGAACACGTGCCGCACCAGGTCCATCGTCTGGCGGCCGGTCAGCCGGCCCGGCTCCTGCACCGCCTGCGCCAGCAGCGCCTGCACGTCGGGGCTGAAGTGGCCGAGCGCGGCCGCCGCGCCGGCCACCGGCTCGGGCCGGCCGGCCGGCGCCGGCAGCAGCTCGGCGCCCAGGCTGCGCGAGCGCTTCAGGCCGCCCGGCACCGGCGGCACGGTGACGGCCGCAGCGGCCGGCTCGGCCGTTCGTTTGTCGTGGTTCGTCGCGTCGTCGCTGGGGGCGGGAGCGTCGCCGGCGCCGCCCGAACGGAACGTCACCTGGCGGAGAGTGGGTGGTGGTGACACCTAATGGCGGGCCACAGAACTGGTAGATCGACCGTCGATCACTAGGACCGGGGACTGTGAACAATCATTTTGTCCGGGAAAAACTGAAGTGTCGTGGGTTAGAATTATGCCTTTATGCATGTTTTATGAAGCTATAACCGCAAAAATACATGTCTTCCTAACCATTCAAACAGAGAGCTAAATCTTTTCCGTCGACTGGCAGCCATCGCCCACTATAGCAACTACTAGTTCCCGAATCCGCCGCAAGTGGCGCTGCAGGTCCCGATCCCAATTTAGCCCACCCGGTCTGGCATCAGAGGAGGGTGAGTGATGGGCCGTCCCGTCGGCCGGGGCAGGCCATGGCACCGTACCAGCTTAAGGCATGTCCGGTAGGCAGCGGGGAATACAGATACACATGGCGAGCCGGGGGTAGAGAGAGACATCTTCGGAAAAAAAAACTCCGAGAACCGTCCGATAACAGCTACAATGAGAGCAAAATAGCATAATCATATCTTCTAATAAACTTGAAAGTAGTGGCCATAGTAAAGTGAGTTCATTACGGCCATCGGCACTTAACCTAGCACACAAGATGATACTGTGCCTCTTAGAACAGTCTAGTTGAACAGTCTAGTAGATTCCAAGCACATTTGGTGGATCAGCTGGCGGTCGTCCAGCCTCCACGGCTCCGAGGACCCCACCCGCTCAGCACAAAGTTCTCCCGTTGGGAGCGGTTTGGTGGTTTGTATACAGGTACGGTTCGGGGCAGCTGTGGTAGGGGGTGACCTACACAAACACTGGGGTGGCCTGACCTTCCAGGTTTGTATACAGCAGTAGCTCGGGCTCTGGGGGGGGGGGGGAGGGAGGGTGAGGCCCCCGGCGGTAGGGCACGGGGTACGGCCGTTTGGCAGCTAGCTGAAAGCTACGATGACGTCATTGGGAAAGGAGGGCCCAGCTCAAACGAGCCATGTGCCGTTTTACGGAGGCCCAGCTAAGACAAAGCACAGTCATCACAAGGCTTGACTTTTTAACCCTGGCAGTGACGGAGTGCCAGGCAGTTTTCAAGGGATATAAGCATGGTTTTCTGGCATACTCAATGAATACTCGTGATCAGAGTGAACCGAAGGGACGACCCCTCGGGATGGCCCCAGCGTTGACAGTACGGACCAATGAGATAACATCTGTCCTGGCCTGACGCCAACTATACCCGAGTGGGAACAGCACACACATACCATCCGGACCGGGGACATTACTGTCGGCGGTTATCGCCCTGTAGGTCACAATCTGACTGGACCAGATTATACTCCATTACTTTATCGAGGCTGCATGGCTAATTTATATTCACAACCCACTCCACTCAATAGGATTCTACAAACAACGATCTCAAAACAACCAAAGGGCTAATTAATTCCACACGCGTGCATGCAAACCAAACACACAATGTTGATCTCATCAAGCTGCCATTCCTCCCCTCGACTGGCGTCGAACGTCATTCCAATGCTGACATGATTGAGTCGAATCATCCAGAGGACTCGAAATACATCTAGAGTGACCATGAGGTGCCGAGAGACTTCTCATCTCCTAAGGCTTGTTTATGGGCGGGTAGTGGCAAGCCGAGCTAACGTCGGGGAAGGAGACAGATCGAATAAAAGAGAAGCTCCACTGTCTAAAGGGAGCCGACGCTAGTGACCAGAATCTTACACTCTACACTCTACAGCCGCGAACAATGTATGTACGGCATCTCGCAACCAGCCTTCTGATGTAGTACGGCTGTCCATTTTAGGACGGATAAACTGGTGTTAGTGGAATTACTACACTCAGCACTCATGGAAGCCCTAGTGTTGTTACTGCAAGCTGCATTGTCTGTCTCAGAATGACGTCAAATATGAAGCGGCATGCACATTCAGCCACTTCGAAATCACAAGGAAGCAAACCAACTGCCAATCACGAATGGGACTTCAACAAATACAACTCGTCAATGCCAGTAACCCTGCACACCATGCAGGGTTAGTAAAGGGTCACACGTTTTAACGCACTGAGCTTCGGCCGCTGACCTTGAAGATTCGTCCGTCCTTGGAGCTCTTTGAGCGCACCAGGGAGCCCGGAACGATCGCCTTATTGCTCTACAGAGGCGGCGGGGCGGCCGGGCGGCGTCAGGAAGACCCGCAGAGTAGGGGGCAAGTCCAACACTTCGAAGCGAGTGAAAGGATACGAGTAGAAATATGTACCTAAATATCGCACCTAACAGACTACCATCTACCACATTTCTTCCATTACACGCCAACTCACTCAACCCTCTCTAACAGAGAGGGTTGACCTCTCTAACAGAGAGGGTTGAGTGAGTAGAGAGTCTCTATCTCTTCCTTCTTCCTCCTCATTCTCTCCCTCTATCCCAACCTCCTCCCCTCCCTCACCTTCAGCGATCGGGCGTCTTTGGAGCTCTTGGAGCGCAGCAGGGGCGGCGGCTGCTTGGAGGGCGAGCCGCCGCCGTCGCCGCCGCCGGCCGCAGCGCTCACCGGCTGAAACTCCTTGGCGTTGATGTTGAGCGGAGCCGGGGCGGCCGTCGGGGCGGCGGCGGCGGCCAGCGCCGCCTCCGGTGAGCCGTTGAAGCCGTTCACGGCCGGGCAGGCCGCCACGAAGCCGGGGGATCGCATCGCTGGGGTGAGAAACACGTGTTAGACGGGATCGGCGCTGAGTGGAAGGGACACGGCTAGAAATGAGCAAAGAGAAATGAGACCCATATGGTCAGCTAGACTAATAGCATAAGTTCTTGGTCATGGTAGGCTACCGTCAGTTTGGAATCTGGGTTTGGGTTTGATGAGTCATTGGCACTTCGCAAAACTCGTGTCGGCTCACGCACGTTTCGTAAGCATTCAGTCACGTATGACAAAACGCTTGTTTTCCAGTAGAAACTGAACCCTGAAGGTCGCGCGGATTACAACTTCGAACGCACATCAGGATAAACACAGCCATAACCATTGGCCAACAAGTCCAACATTTCCTCCCTTTACCGTGTACCCTTTGCCAAGTGAGGGTAGAGAAGAGAGGTCGGTGACTCACTGGGAGGTCGGTAGAGCTCCATGGCCGGCTTGCCCCTCATGGCTGGCATCCCGCTGCGTCGTCTCGGGTCGCGGCCACCCTGTGAACACACAGAGGTCACAGGTCAATACGGGTCGGGTCAGGTCGGGTTAGACTGTCAGCACATCAGCAGCGGGAGCATTACAAAACACGTCTGCTGGTAGGTAGCAATGGTTGATAACTTATCGCATTACGGCTCTCTCCAGGCAGTCGATTGCTCAAGTAACAACCGCAACAAATGAGGACAACAACAACATTTTTACACACCCGCATCGCCGCGTATTATAGAGCAACACATTGAAGAACTGCCACCGCGCAGCCCTAGCACCCTCGCCGAGCCAGCCAGAGGTAGCCCCACCGTCTCAGAGCGGTCGGGGGTTTAGCGTAGCACCGATAAACAGACCCAGCCATCCTGTTTATTCCGTCAGCTGGCTCCCACCGCCACAGAAGCTACCGTTACGACCGCCACCGATATACACGTTACACCACGCATCAACAGGAAACGGGCCGCGCAGCTGGCGACACGGCCAACAATAACGGAAATGGTAGTGGGACAAAAATAGGAAAGGGAATCTGGAATGATAAGATTGAACATAAGCTCAGAATCGCGTTTGAAATGGCACGAACAAGCAAAACTTTGGTCATACCAATAATAAATGTCTCATTTATAGTTATCAATGCATCATTAGCGCTTATATGTTTCACACACGAATAAAGCCACAAAACCATCTGTCACCAATCAGAGAGGATACACCTATCGCCTGCGAGAGGGAAGCGCCGATGAAAGTATAATTTCCCCACTCCCAGGACGCCCGTTTGCGGCATGCGCTGTCTCAATCCCAACGTCTGATAAACAGACACATATACCTAACGCACGTGTCCCTCCGTATTCCCTCGTCGCTGCATACAAAGTTCGGTAGTTTCGTGACGACTCTAACAATGTTCGTGACGGCTCTCAGTCGGGCGACTTTCCCAACACCATGTCGCGCCGTAAAGTCAGCGGCATCGCGCTGGGAAACTAATCAGAAAACAGCAGACAGTGTCGTCACGGCGCTATCGCTGTCCCTCACTGCCGTGAAATCGCACAAAAAACACGACACCCTGCCAGTGGCCACCGACACCGACACCGCCCTGGGTGTTGCGAGTATACGGTCTGTAGAATTGGCGGGGATAGTCTCAGGAGACTGCAAGAGCCAACAGCAAAAGAAAACAGCCGCCTCAGCCAGGGCAAATTGAATCAGGGTGACCACTCGAGGGTGGATGGCAAAAGTTAGGGTCTCCAGACCCAAGCACCGCGTGAAGAACACCTAGAGTGAGCAGGTAACAACCGAGACCAACTGGAGTCAGCTTTGTAACACCTACTGAGCCGAAGGAGCATGCATATGTAGGGGCGGACTGAAATCAAATATGACCATATTGGGCTGAGCAGGACCCAATGGGACAAGCCGGGAATTTGGATCATGGCCCCGGAAATGGACCAACAGCGCAGCGCCTCTCTCTCTCTCTCTCTCTCTCTCTCTCTCTCTCTCTCTCTCTCTCTCTCTCTCTCTCGCCGATCTCCCACATCCTGTTTATGGCCTCTCCATCACTCCACCTGGCATTGGAAGTCGGCGTGTCTGGTCCGAGTCGACCGGGACAAACTAATGGCTTCCTGCTTCTCAAGATTTCAGTTCAGGCACAGCGTAGCGCTGGGAAACTTTGTGCAACAGAGGCGATCGCACGCCGTGTTGAAAGTAGACAATCACCAATATGACCACAAAATAGATAGATTCACACATTGAAGCCAGTCAGAACAACTATCTTCATGGCTGTTTCATTATATTCATACCTCTGCGGTCAGGGCACCATATCGCCATTAGCTTACCGTTATCATCACCATTCGCAATACTCCGAGGCTAGATCTGCAAACGATAGTTACGTCACCGTTACCATGTAATACTTGGCCCGCATCACACACCACCACGGCCGCGGGTACACTCGTACCCGTCACAGCGGCGACCCCAAACAGCAGACGGGGAGGCGGGCGGCGCGGGTCTGTGTCGGCACGGGTCTGTGTCGGCCTTTCACTAGCGTCAACGACCGACCGGCCGCGGTCAGGAGAAACGGCGGCCGGCGCCGGCGGCGGGTCACCGGCCCGGAGCCACACAGCTCTGTGAGCGGAGACTGGCGTCACAGAGCTCCGAGCTGGCGTCATAGGGCTCCTAGCTGGCGCCAGAGCTCTGAGCTGCGTCATGCAGCTCCGATATGGCGTCAAAGAGCTCCAAAGTGGCGTCAAACAGCACCGAGCTAACGTCATATCGATCCTATCGCTATCGTCATACATGTACAGATCCGAGCCGGCGCCACACGGAGCCGGAGTCATACAGCTCCGAGCTTCCATTCACACAGCCCCGAGGCCCGAGATGGCGTCATACATCTCCGAGCTTCCAGTCACACGCCGGAGCTGGGGTTCGATGAACTACTCATGGTGTAACGAGAAACTGAGACAAGGTTCGTATCTTGACCTCAGCCTTTGTCTCAGGCTTTGTCAACGATTAAATCATGAAAATGGTGCATTCCAACACCATGAACGAGACAATGACAGTCCCGCTTAAAAAGTATCGGCCTAACAGCGAGACAACAAAGAATGGCATCAGAACAAGAGGCGATTTTATGGGACGCCTGAGAGTCTCGAAGCTAAAGATGAGCCGAATTCTCGTCCATCGGTCTTGGTGCTTGTTGAGTGACAGAAAAGGAATGGACTACTTGTAACAAGCGCATCAAAATCGCTTTTAATGAGAAGAAAAGACCAGCAGAAACTCCAAAGGCATGAAACACAGAATTCATCGGGTTCCACATTATTACTCTGACCGGCAATGATAGCAACATTCAGGCTCTTCAAAGTTTTTCAATCCATCTGGCTTAAACCAAAGACATCTTTTCCGCTCGTTTTTAATGGCATCTCTGAGCCATCTCCAACGCAAAACTCGCTTCACCAACAACTGCAAGATCCTGGGCTGACAACTCACCAAGCCAGAGCGACGGTAACCACGGAGCTCCAAGGAATGCCGAGTCTTGATGAGCTCCGACTGCAACAGACCAGTGCGATATGGCGACACCAGGACCGCCTGCCACCGACTGACCGACACGCCCATCAAACTATCACTGAGCCATCCAACTCAATGTTTCGCTCCATAGATGTGGTCTCATCGGAGCCAGCCTGGAGCTGCCACTTCAGCTCGAAAGCAGGGCGGTGAAGCTGTGTAGCACACCGCAACGAGCCGCAGTGGTGGCCGTTCCGGCCGTGGTGGCCGGAACGGGTTTTATTACCCGTTCCCGATGACCAAGTCACCAGAGGTGCTATTTTACAATGAGAGAGCCAGCACCGCAGCGTTTCCACATCGAAGGAGAAACCCGCCAATAAGGCGTGTTTGCAGGCCAATTTTCACCGGAAGTCGTGCCGACGCCATTCTGGCACATTCTCTGGGTAATTTGACTACAGTCGTCCGTCAACTTCAACCAACCGTGACATACCGAGCCAAGCTATCGAGCCAAGTTGACACAAGACGTCTACCCATGCCAAGCGCCCAAGTCAGAATGCCAAGAACGAAACCAAGTAGCTTCTCCTTCCCACTTCAACCATGACCATTCGCAAGCAAGGTCGTTCGCTAGCTCAACCCGTCGTAACCACTAAATAGAATACCATGAAGGGCAAGTGCACACGCCAGTCGCAGGACATTGACAGCAACGGATGATGAATTCATGACAGTTGCGATAGGCCGTGCACATAGCGTGTCGGAATTCGCCCGATCGGGAACAGTGGTGCTGTTTGAAGCGCTGCTGCATTTAGCCACCACTTAGCACACATGGCACGTTTTTCAGTTATGCCTTCTACTTCTGACTTCTGGCAGAAGGAAGTCGGACCGTGGAGGGTGGCTGGCCAATCAACATGTCATGTGGCTGCAGCGCTACCAACAGATCAATCAGGCTACGCCCGAGTAACGGACCGTCATCTACACCCGTCATCTCACCACAAAACTAAAGTGAAAATCATCTGCTGTGACCTCCAAGACCCCAGCGAGTTCGGCCTTGACCGCGGCCGGGGTCGGTTGTGCCGCGCGGCGCTCCCGGGGTGCGGTGCCGGAGAGGTGGGCTCTGTTTGTGGTGGCGACTGTTAGCGAGAGGACAGAGTGAAGAGAGTGGGAGAGAGGGCTGCGCTTTTCTCCCCTTATATGCTGGAAGTTAAGCATGGGGAAAAAGAGAAAAGCTGGTTCACCGCTGCAGTCTGCTCAGCCTGCTCAGCCTACGGACGGCGCAGCTCCTGTGGACATGAGTGAGATGTGTGCCGAACTAAAAAAGTGTATAGCAAATGAGAATGCTAAGGCAGTGAAAGAAATCAGGGAATCAAATGAAAGGAGAGTGGCGGCTGTGGAACAATCCTTGTCGTTTGCGCTGGACTCACTGTCAGCAGTGGCGGCGCGACAGCAAAATGCTGACGACGACATAGTGGAACTTAGACGAGAGACTGCTGATTTGAAACGGAGGCTTCAGCTGTTGGAAATGCAAGAGGATCGAGTTCAACAGGAAACAAGGTTGGTCAATCTGTTGTTCTCTGGATCAGCTTTGCAAAGTGAAAATGCTGTTGGAAACGCTGTGGACTGTATAATCGCCTTAGTCAAGCGATTCATGAACTATGTCATAGACAGAAGTCAAGTTAAAACGGCTTTCCGATTGAAAAATGGAAAGGTCATGATGCAGTTCACGACAGCGGCGTCGGGTTCTGATAGAGATTTTCTGTTTCGGTCCAAAGCAAGACTGAAAGGGACGGGGCTATATATAGCAGAGTCCCTGACGCCGAGGAGACAGGCCATGTTTACTGAACTCCTGAGACTGAAGAGAGAGAAAGTCATCTTTTCAGTTTTTACACAATCAGGAAATATACTGGTGTGTAAAAACCACAACTCTGCGCCGATACGCGTAGCTGATCCGGACACCGTGCGCCAGCTGTCTGGCATCAGCGCCGGAGGCCATCGGCCGCCGCAGAGGCGTGCCGAGGAGCCCATCGCGGGGCGACCGTACGGC